AGGAGGCAGGGATGGGGCGTTGGAAGGTCGGGAGGTTGAGTTTGCGGTGCGGATGTGCTGGATTGGCCATTTCGATTAGAAGTCTGATGTTGCCTTGGAGTTGGGATGCGTTTGCGCCGCTCCAGGTCTCTGTTTCCTGGCCCTTTAGGTAGGTCTTGAATGTTGGGGTGGCCTTGATGCCGTATTTCATGGCCACGTCGTAGGCGCTGCTGATGTCTACTTTGATCAGCGTGGCCTTGGATCCTGCTTCTTCGGCTAGTTCGTCGTACAGCGGGTAGAGGGCTTTGCAGGGAGGGCAGGTGGCGGAGGTGAAGAAGATGATTGCGGCGGAGTGGCTGGCCTGGTTGAGTTCGTGGTTGAGTTGCGTGAGATTGGTGACTTGGTGGACTTTGTTCGGCGATGGTACTTGTGATTGTGTAGGGGTTTGGGTTGGTACGCCGGTGCTGGGGGCCTGGGTGACGGGGCGTAGGGCGGCTTCGATTTGTGGCTTGATCATCTGGCCGAAGGGCGTGCTGAGGAAGGTCTGGGGCAGGTTGCGGATGTGATCTGGGATACTCTTGCCCAGGAGGAACATGGCGAGGTCTTGGGTGAAGTTGTTGCAGTTGTGGAGGAAGAGGTCGTAGGACTGGGGTTTTGTTAGTTGTGGTTGAGGCTGATTTTAGAGGGGGTTTCGTGGCTTGCCTCTGGCGTGTAGATTTCTCCCAGTGACTCGATATACTCGGATATCACATCCGGGGGCAGTTCTGTCTGGCCTAGATGGACTTTCTCCATGGGCTGTCCGTGGTGCGTGCTCCCCGGGTAGGCTGTTTGGATGCCATGACCGAAGTAGTATTCCACGCCGTTGAGCACGATGGCGGTGTGGTAGATCGCATCAATGTGCGTTCCCGTTAGGGGGAGGGACCACTGGACTACGTTAGATCTTGGTTCTTGTCCTCTGTGACGGTACGAATTGGACGTACCTGGCGGGCGAGACCCTGTTACATGTTAGCCAATGAGCTTGTGGTTTTATAGTGATTGGGAGTACCTTGGAGAGGTCGTAGACGTATAGCTCTACGTCCATGGTATGGGTTGCTGTTGTAGATGGCCTGGTAACTGAACTTTGTCTACAGAGTGTAATGTAGTCAATGATGGAGAAATCCACGAAGGTGCCTGGGGACAATGTAGGGTATATAAAGTCAGGGCCGTTGACTCGATTGGGAAATGTAGGCATATTTTGGGTTACGTCAGCAGGGCCAGGCAGTCACGGGAATGCGTCGATTGTTCGGTGATCTTCGATTCAGGACCATGACTAGATTGACTTTTGTATACTAAATGCTATACAAAGAATCTCATGTCTTTATTATTCATGTAGCTTTAATAAACACTTACATAAACACTACGTAGCCGAGCCAGCATACCTCCATGCATATACTTTGTAGAACTGGAAGCCCGGCGCATAATCCATATAGATAACCCAGCCAAAGACCCTCACTCTCCGCCTTAACCTGCGCATCAAACCATCCCGCCACCAACAACCGCAACTCCCAACTGAGTCCTGACACACCCCAACACCAACAAGGGGAGATGGTAAGATCCCTCCAATCGCAAACCAACCCGCAATCCAGAAACACCGACTAACCAGAATCTCACTCCTTCCAGCCTCCCAAAAAGCGCAGCGCACCTTCCGCGCCGAAGAAAGCGCGGCAATCCAAACTCGCCAAAGCGCACGACATCAGCGCCACCGAAGAGAACGAGATCAAAGAAGTTTTCCAGCTCTTCGCGACCAGCGCCACAGACTTCCCGAACGAGAAAGAAGGAGTGATTTCACGAGAAGATGTCCGGAAGGCGCTTGTGTATGTGTCCCCTCCCTCCGCCCCGGCCCTCCACTCTTGCGCCGGATGAAATATGTGCTATTGTTGTATTGTATTGACTGAGGGGTAATAATAAAGAGCGCTGGGCCTTGCGCCGGCTGATTCGCGAGAGCTGCACGATATCCTGGCTGCGGTGGATCCCACGACGACTGGGTATGTGCTCTATGAGCCGTTTGTGGCTGTTGCGGCGGCGAAGTTACGGTCTCGCGACGAGGATGCGATGGTTGCTGAGGTGGATACTGCTTATCAGTTGTTTACGCGGAATACGGATGGGCCGATTACGTTGGGGCATTTGAGGCGCATTGCGCGTGAGTTGAAGGAGGATGGGTTGGGGGATGATTTGCTCAGGGATATGATTCTGGAGGCGAATGGGGGTGCCGGCATTGAGGCTGGGGTGAGCTTGGAACAGTTTCATGATGTTATGACTAGGGCTGGTGTTTTCTAGATATCGGGTTTTGGTTTTGGTTTGGGGTGTTGGTGTTGGGGTAGGCGTTGGTTTCTTTGGGTTTATCTTGTTGGTAGGCCTTTCAATGGATCATGTACATACTTTACAGCAGGAATATAATATTGGTTTTGAGGTATGCGCTCGAGAATGGTGGTGTTTTGGGTACCTGAAGACCATATGTGGCTGGAAGGGACTGTGGTGGGTATATTTCTGGAGATGTTAAAAGTCTGCATGGATTGTGGAGTTATTGATGTTAACTACTGTAAGTATGAACGAGGTAACATTGTTGTTGACCTCAGCAATGTCTGTCCTGTTCTTGCAGAGTGCGTCCGGTCTATACCTGTCCAAAACCATGTCCACATAAAAATACAAAACCAAAGCAATGCAACGCCTTTAGTGGGACTGGGGTATCATAATAGTGATGTACACAGTTGCTAGCGTCCGCAATCGAGCGGACCATGCTAAATATAACAATATGTAAGGCATTAGACTCAATCAACTTCCGACACAGGCCGTGCATTCTCGACTGGAAGCTCAGCCTTCTCAGGCGTGGACACACTTGTGGCTTGAGATGTTCGCGTGTCGTCAGTGGCCGCAGATGTTGTCGACATGTCCTCCGATGTCGATACCGAGTTCTCCACTTCTGCAAGATCCGACTCGCCAGTTTCAGCGGGGAGAGAAGAGGGGTCCACGGCTTCATAAAAGAGCATGAAAGCTCCGCCCTGCGCCATAACGTTGGATTCGCTGACCATTTGCACATCCTCGTCACTCAACCGGAACCAGCGCTCAGTGGTCTGGTTCTCACCGTCTTGCTCAACGACTGACTCCGGAACCTCGGCGGGGAATGCTTCTGAAGAGTACTTTCTATAACATATGTAGTGACCGTTTTCATGACGGCCGTAGTGCGTGATTACCGCCCGTAATTCATAGAGTTGTCCATGGGCCGCGATCTTGTCGGCTGGTGCAAGCATCGACTCTCTCGGATCCATGTCCCACGTCTCGTAATTTTGACCCGCCTGGCCGACGGCTGCTCCTAGAACCCACTCACCCATATCAAGGATCTTCGGAAACTTCAGGGCGGCGTAATTCTTTCGAAGCATTCCCGTCATTTCATCAAACAAACTTCGGTTGATGTGGACAACAAGGCACTTCGGCGGTCTTGCAATCACAGCCTGTCGGGATTTCGTAGAGGAAACACGGTTCTTCGAAGGGATATTGCACTTCTTAGAGAGAGTCTTCTCCGCAAAATCCTCTTCCTTGAGGGCCTCCTCGACAGCCTTCAATCGTTCCTGCGCCGAATTCTTCAGCGCTTCAGATACACTCAGCGAATCGGGTGTGTTCGAAAGCGACTTATCTTCCTCGATTTGTTTAAGTAGATTCTGGAGTTGTTTTTGAGCGTGCAACAAAGTACACTTCGCACACTCCACACCTTCGATAGGTTCTAAATCCATATAGTCCTGAAGACAATCACGAACATCATGCTCGTAGCCCGCCCCAAGCGGTACCGTCAGGCAATTGAATGGAATAAGGGACAAACCCTCGGTCCAACCACATTGCATGCAGCCCACTCGCTGTGCGAGGAGACCTTCCAATGGGTTTCCGAAAGAACGTATTTCGGCGATCCGAGCCCCGACGGAGGCGTCCGGATTTTTTCCTTGCGTAGATCCAGCCCCAATAACATTTTCCTGCGGGCTTGCCACCTTCAACCCGAGGTTCCGAGTTTGTTTTCGTGTAGCCTGCTGTATCTCGTAGTCTATCTGATCGACAACCTTCGAAAAATATTCCTGCGCGTCTTGTTGCTGCCAACTGCTCATCGACTTGAGATCCGCCGGAGTCCATAATCGCTGTCCATAGCTGTCCGGGCTATTCAGCCGTTCTATAATGCCCTTGAGCGCCTGATGTGTCGAGAATGCTCCCTTCGCCCCGAATAAATCGATGTTCCGTTCCAAGAACGCCGCTAGCGACCCCAGCGAAGCGAACCCTTGTATAATGCTGTTCTGATAGCACGAGTTGTCCCAGTTGCCTAGACCCGGAGGGAGGCTGTCCTTGCTGCCGAGAAGTGCAGTGCCGAAGCCCGGGAGCGTTGGAGCTCGAGGAAGGAGAGAGGATAATGACGAGTTATCGAGCCCGAGGATCCGTTTCATCGCTTCGCCCTTGGCTTCGAAAGTCATCGGACCGGCACTTTCCTCGATCGGGGTTGAGTTTGCTTTTTTGTCCAGGGCGGCGACTACTCTGGACGGCGTCATGTAGACGATGACGTCCCACAATCCTCGGGCTACCGTGGCCGGAATCGACCCAGACTGGGTCAAGGCAATGAAAACGAGTATCGCGATCGCTAGGGTGGAGGCTATGCTTGGGTGGTCTTGTAGATACTGAAATACTCTGTCATAGTGGCTATTTTTTGCGTGGTTCAAGGGACTCTGAGTGAGGAGACCGTTCGCCCCTCTATGAGAGTGCATGGTTGAGTGGGAAATCTGGGAGGTCACGGCATAGAGACAACGTTCGAATACTCATGAAGACGGGTAAAGGAATGAATATGTGTTTGTATATCTGAAGTATAGATTGATGATATTTGGACTGTTTGCCTGTCGGAGTTTAATAAGCGCCGCCGGCTTCACTTCTGGTTTCTGTGGCTACCCGAACTTGTTATCGATAGCGATTATCGTCTCCACTGAAAATATTCTACGGCTGTGATAAAAACACAAATTTTCCGGTTCTCACCACAATGGCTAAAGCAAGAGGTACGTGGAGATTATGCAGGAGAGAAACGAGGTTACTAAATTAATGTCTGTCTATAGTCCAGTCAAAGCACTCTCGTGCGGCCCGCCGGGCAGCATCGCCGAGTCTCGACGTTGACAAGTCCTTGACCACCCTTCCCCGTGCCGAAGATACCGTGATACAGCGTGAATCCATCCTTTCCGATCGCGCAAATGCCGGTGTCTCGAAGAAGAAGTCGAAAACCAAGGGCCTAACAAAGGCGCAGCGTGCCAGGCAGCAGAAGGGTATCGAAAGAGCAGAGAATATCATGGATCAACTGGAGGCGAAAGTGGAGAAAAGTGTCAAGCGGGGGAAAACTGTGAAAGCACGTAGGGTATGGACAAAATGATTCTATCAAGGCCATTTCATTGATACTGACAATGTGGGCTGTCAGGCTGAGTGGGAAGACCTGAATCGCAAATCGGGAGCGACCATGTTTCAGAACCTCAACGACGAGGCCGACAATGACGACGATGACGCTATGGCTGATGTTTCCGCGGCTCCTAAGAAAACGAAGCCGCAGCCGCAACCAACACACGTGGCTCAAAACCTGGTGGCCGACCAACACGCAGATATTGACGTGGACGATGATATCAGCTGAGATGTCACAGCGACAGTGCAAAGGAGATACCGGGCTGGTCACGCCAACTATTTCCTTGGCCTAAGCTGGTTGATCATTCGATCAATATCAGCGACAGCTGGCCCCGAAGCTCTCGTCCGGAGGAGCTCCAGGGTATTGAAGTCCTTGGCCTTGAAGGCCTCCTCCCCGGCTTTCACGATCATTCCACATTTCACCCACATTTCCACCTTGTCTTCGACTGGTAAGTTGGTGCATTTGGGGACAAAAAAAGAAGCGAGTTTCGTGTTTCCAGCACCTAGTATCTCGTTATAGAAAGGCTGTCAACTTGTGTCAGCACGTGCATGCATACATCTGAAGCTGGTTAAGAATTGGCTCACCTCCCACCCGATCGGGGATTTCTTGTTTCTGCCGATCTCTTCCAACTCACCCCAGTCTCGTTTGGCAACTAGAGCCCTTAGTCTAAGCCACCAATATGTCTTGTCTGGCATCTTAAATTCACTCTGAAGCTTCTGTGCTCTCTTGCCGTAGCCCGATCGGATCAGTCTGTAAATAGTCTCGTTCAAGCTTAGACCCACAAACTCAGACCGATCTGCAATATCCTTGTCCAAGGCTTCCTGAACCTTCAACAACTGCGATGCTTCGGAAAGAAGTTTTTGCTGCAAGACTACTGTCGCGTCTTTAGAGTCGACTAATAATCGAGAGGCAAGCTGCAGCTTCTCAGTTTTGCTTGGCAACTCTGTCTGACTCAATGCTTCTGAGAGGAGCACATTCGAGCCGTCGATCGGACGGTCGTCTTGGTAGTAGAGGTCTTTTAGTAGTTCGGTATCGTCACCTCGAGCGGTCGTTTCCACAAGGGCAGAAGCCATAGGCCGGGTGTTAATCATTCTGAAGAAGCTGGCCAGAGGGAGTTTGCTCTTGAGACGTAGAAGCACATAGTTTACTAGGTCATTATCCCCACTTTCGATGGCCTTACCAAGGGCAATTTCATCCTCCTCCATGTTCAGAAGTAACGGAACCTGCTTGCCGGCCCGCGGCTCGTGGTTCAGCAGCTGCGTGGCCAGATGAGCACGCCCTTCATCATAAGCGGCTTGTGCGATCAGTTCGAACGATATCCCCGGCTTGCCGTCCAATCTTTGCACGATAAGCTTACAGACAGCTTCATCGTCAACGGTTGAGACCTTAACCTTTTGGCTTGCCCAATGAACATAGATTCTGTCAGCAGGAATCTGGAGATATTCCGAGATTTTAATGGCAAGTAGATATTCATGTCTGTTCACCAAGCGTTCGATAAGTTTCTCCGGAGTCAGCCGCATGTATTGATCGTATGAGATTGGGAGCCCAATCTGGTAGTCCCTAACTGCTTTAAGAACTCGAAGTTTCTCGGTCATTTCCACAAAATCGTCACTATTGTACAAATCCAGAACAGATTTTCCGAATGACGCGGCTTTCAACAATCTCTTCTGCCAATATGCGTCGAACTCGTGGCCCGCGGCCCTAACACAAGTGTCAACGGCTTCTGGTAAACTTGATCGGATCCGCTGGATGTTCTCGTCGGCCTTAGGAGACTTTTTTTCCAGCAAGTCAATTGAGTCCAGCAGAACTGAGGCAGGGGAGGTCGATCCGAGGCGAAAGATCGCCTCCGTTACGTCTGGATTGATTGTTAATTGATGAGGAAACAGATCTTGTAAGCAAACATACCTGTCACTTTATGCAAAAACTCGCATGTGTCATGCGTGATCAATCGCACGCCATCAAACTCGGGGACAACGTGGACAATGCCGTCATAGTAGTAGCTTAATTTGTTAATAGAGCGTAGGCTTCCGGGATACGATGGATAACTCACCGAGCGGCAACACCGTTGGGACCAATCAAGTGCACCTCATCTTCCCACGCGATGACAACAGCATCATCCCCACACCAGTCAACCGTCCGGGGAGTTACGCGAGACTCGGGGTCATATTCACTGTACTTGCTCTGGAAGTCACTACTGACTACCCATACTTTGCCTTCCGCCGTAATGAGTGCCACGAATCTTCCAGTTGGCGACACGCTGGCATGCTTGAAAGGGCCATTTTGAAGCACTTTGTCCTCTGCTTCCGTGGGATCAATCAGGTAGACGGTCTTGTCAACAGCTAGCAGTACCTCGACTGAGCGCGACAACGTAAAGGCAGGTGGAATCAAGGACCACGATGAAACCTCTCCTTCAGGACAATGAGCTAGGAGCTTCGGTCGAGGCTCGTCATAGTTAGACACAGCTACCAGCTGGTTATTTGAGAGCAGAGCAACGAAGCCGGACGTCCAAAAGCGACAAGCTCTGACGCCATATTCTTCCGCCCCCTACGTATATTAGCGCCGAAAATAGTACATATAGGTATCGAAAGCCTACGTTTCCAAGAGAAAATGAAGTGAAATCTCCATACAGTCCAAAATAGCGTCGCACGGTACCGTCTTCCGTGATCACTAACAACTCTTCTTTGTCGGACCAGCCGAGCCCTCGGATAGTACCATGTTCCCACTGGAAATGTTAGAGTTAGTAGCACCATTAAGTTGAATCGTTAACTAACATTAAGTCGATTAATCAGCTTTCCCGAGGAGGAGTAGATACCAATGCTCGACTTGGCGGTCTGAGCATCACGGAACCTGTATGGCTTGGTATCATCGCGATGCAACGCTATGGTATGTAAGCATTAACTCAAAAAGGTGTATAACGATAGATACTCGTACCTAAAGCCCCTCCGTATGGCGCGCCTGCAACGATGTAGTTCTCTAGTTCGACATCTTCATCGAAGATAGCGTCGTATATCGGGACTTTCCTATAGAAACTATCACCCAGCTTCTCCCAGTTCGCCAGCGGATTTGACGGCGCCATTGATACTGGCAGATAATTATATGAACAGAGACCGCGCCAACCGAAGAGAGAGATCAAAGCTGCGATGAGCCTTGTTTGGCGGTCGTTCATCGGGAAGCTCCCAGCTCACATGGGGTCTGGCTGGCGCTAAACCTAGCTAGGCGTAGCGTCTTGGCTGTTCATCGGCCACTTATCAAGACTCAATATTTACTGATACTGAACATCATGAAGCATACGCGAGTAGGTATAATGGATGATCTAGCAGAAATATCCAGTCTGGTGCTGGAACTATCAGATCTTGAAGTGGCGCTTTATCTCTGTCTTGCTGCTAGCGAGCATTGTCGTATCGACGCTACAGCCGACAACATTAATGACGTTGCCAATGAGCTCGCCTTGGTAACTTGCTTCTTAATATATATTGCTTCATGGTTCATCCACTGATGCTCCACCAGATATGTGCACACACCTTTGACCTCACTTGTGTTACTGTTGACTGCTCGGAAACAACAACACCGGACGAATTTTGCTCTGCGCTCATTCCTGCGAATGCTCGAAACTCGGCTGGTCCGAACAATGCGGAGAACAGGGCGGTTAACGTCGTAGTAGCTAAGAACTTCGACCACGCTGCTGACAGGATACAACTCCAAGCTCTTGAGGTGACTATAGCATCACGATTGAAGGTGTGGCCTTGCTAACGTTCATAACAGCTGATGCGGTCTAAGAAACTCAATACACATAATGGCTTCCTTGAGGCTCCAGAAGACTTCCTCTTCATACCGCTTGTTATGCGCAAGACAGAACATGATCAGCCAGTCTTAAACTTCCACTTGGTAGGTAGCCTGTTGCCATAGGTCCATGATCGGATAATGCTGATCAGTCAAGAATGACCATCTCATCATCTCCCACTTTCACGGTTCTAGGGACGACTTTATATACTTAGAAGAGAACAACGACTGGCTCTCTGACGGCCAGATGTCAGCATCGTCTGTTGTGCGCAAATCAGAGGTACCACTGCACAAAGGACACCCAGGTATAGACCGGAAGGTGAGGCCAGGTTTCTAAACATCTGCTCAATACTCACCGATATATAGGCCTTGGACAAACTACAGAAGGCCAGTGACCGTGTGACTATGGGCGCGGATGTAGTTCGGTATCATCAAGACATCACTGTGTTTCTCCGTCTCAGTCGCGCAGTTGCTGGAGGCATATCCGCGCGATCCAACATTTATTTTAGGAAAATCTCAAAGTGTGTCCTCCACAAAGCTTCGGAAGCATGGCTTAAACTAACCGAGATAGGTTGCTCGCTGCATTGCATGGAATTGATTATCTCACGCCATCGATAGTAGCCTTAGCTGCGAAGAAGGTCTTCCGTCATCGAATTATTGTGGCTAAACCGGAAGATGACCGCAGTTTGCAATATGGAAGTGACTTAAAAGCGGTAGCCCAGGTTCTATCTTATGCTACCCCCGATACTATCTTGGACAGTGTCTTGACACTGGAAGCTCCCTTATGAGCTTTGAAGTTTTACAACGATGCAAATCACATTTTCGACCACCATGCGGTGTCATAACCAACCGAATTATGCAATATGTTACAGCGTACAATACTTGACACACCAAATCATGCATCTAACGCCATGTCCGCCCCGCAAATGAAGATATATAATATACATGGACGCCCGTTCCATCCGACCCCCACTAATGTAGCTTGAAGAGTGCCTCTATGACCGTTCACCAATCAGTTAATCAAGATCAAGCAGATCGGTAGCCAAGTTCACAATTCCACCTAGTATATTGGACACCATATCCACCACACCTCCCAACAACGGAAAAGTAACTGACAACAGACAATCCAGCGTATCCGTTACCTCATCCAACAATTCTTCCAATACTTCGTCAAGTGTGCACTTTTCTTCATCATCCCGCCTAGTACTTTGCAATACATCGTTTGCGCCCACGTTGGGTTCTTGGCAGGTCGTCATCTTGCTCAAAACCTTTTCCTTGGATTGCTTGAGTCGCGCCTCTGCGGATTGGATTTGTTGGAGTTTATCGCTAAGGCCTCTTTTATGGGTGGCGCCGACGGTTCCATTTTGGGCGGGCGTCACTTCCTTGCCATTACCCGCACTAATCTGAGAGAGCCTCTCAAGGATCGGGGAGACGTGGTGGAGGGTGCGGTTGACCCTTTCCAGGTTCTGACAATTGTTGAGACTAGCTCCGGGGGCTACCGAGTGGGCGTGTATAAGTGAAAAAATGCTTGAAAGGAAGACGAAGCAGAACAAAAGTGGCCGGTTCATGGTGGCAATTTTTTGATGGGTAATGAGCGCAGAGTAGTGTTACACTGGTTGGAAGAGGAATTGTTGATTCTCCATGATCATTAAAAACTGAAGACCTGGCACTCTTGGCAGGAGAATAAGGGGGATCTACGCAGGGAAACGCATTTTCAGTCGATGCATCTATTGCGGTTCCAGAAAAAGAGAAAGTCTATCATGTCGGATCATCGATGATTTCCTCACGGCTTACCTTAAACGGCAAAGGTGCTCATTTCGCGTATTCCGGGAGTTAAGCCGAAAAGGAGAGACATCGATTATATCAGCGGCTATGAATCCCGTGACTCCACCGAGGGAGTGGGTCTCTGAGTGTGGAGACTCTGGAGAGCATATGAGCTGTCAACAAAAATTAACTTAACGGAGGAATTCCGATGGCATGAAGTCCGTTATGACTCAAACTGGTCTAGCGCCAGGATCCCCGGAAGAAAAGAGTTTTGCCTTTCTGCTCGGGTTAATTACTACCCAAGAGCTAATAACGATACTTGCGTTGTCACTTGTTGCCAAATTCAATAGGTTCAATAGTTTGTTAAAATTGATGTACGCTAATGCAGAACAATGTTTAGGCTAGATCATACTCCTTGATCAACTTCTCCGCGCATGTGGCTCCCGTCACATATGCCACGGCCTGAACGTGACAGCTGGCCAGCACGGGTACCACACTCATGTCCGCCACGCGTAACCCGTCAATGCCCATGAAGCGGAAATCGTTGTCCACTGCGGCATCGGTATCGCCCTTCTTACCCATTTTGATGGTACCGGTCATGTGCCAACTAGATGAAATGTTCTGTTTCCAGTATTCCAAGAGATCTTCGTCAGAGTCGGACTTGGGACCAGCCAATTCCATGACGTTATTCTTGGTATAGCCATCACTCTTAGAAACGCGGAACGCATCCCGCAGAGACTCAATAGCAACGCGACGATCGAATGGGTGAGACAGGAACTTCGGATCGAAAAGCAAGGGCACATTGGGATCCGACGACTGTAGGGTGACTTCACCACGAGCCTGTGCGTTGAACAGGAACACAAGCAGGCAGGAGTAGTTCAGGGCTTCCTTGGCGAAATCCGGGATGAACCAGTGGATGGGGAAGTGGGTCAGAATTTCATAGTGCGGCACGGTCTCTTGCAGAAGATATTTCTGCTCTTCCTCGGGCAGCTTCTGGAATTCCTCGGAGGACGTGAGCTTGTCGAGCTTGAACCAGCCAATGCCCAGTTCGCAGGCGAACCGTGACCATGGGCCGCTTCCGTCCTTCTTCCATTGCTCAAGGGCCTCGGCCATGGCTTTCTCGTCGCCGTAGAACTCGCGGCGCTGGGTGCTGTTCTCTACGCGTGTGTTTACGATCGGGACGAAAGTGTGATCTCGTAGACCCTGACCGATGACGGGAACATCGAGCTTGACGGGGATATTGAACTTCTCTAGCTGCTGTGCGGGGCCAATGCCCGAATGCATGAGGATGCGCGGACCTTCCAGAGACCCAGCGCACAGGATAACCTCCTTTGAGGCGAGGTCTTCGCAAACGTCAGTCAGATATTGCTTGGTTGTATATCGTAATTCCATAGGTCTCCATTTGTTGGATATCCCTTTCAAATCAAAGTGGGTATACTGAAGTTAAACTCACACTTCTTCCCATTGGATTCAACACCTACAGCCTTGTTGCCGTCGAATACGAGGCGCTGTACAGGAGCATCAGTGACAATAGTCAAGTTCTCCGGCTGTGGCTTCAATAGGTCCGCAGCTGTTGACCGAACGCCCTTGTAGGCAGAGTTAATCAGAACAGACATCCCAATGGGATTGCCCGAGTTGTGGTCCGGATTGAAGGGGAATCCTGCTTGCTCGAAGACATCCAAAAGCGGCGGCAGATCTTTCTCCCATTCCGAGGCGAACCCTACGTGAAGGCTGCCAGAGCTTCCGTGATCTTCCGCTCGGGGGGCTGCGTATTTTGCATCCACACCCGCGGGGAGCTCGCCGTGGAAGGTCTCGAGGGCTTTGAACCTGGACTGGATTTGGTCCCAGCGGAAGGCATCATCACCGACCACTCGTGCCCACTCTTCATAGTCGTCGCGGGCACCTACAGTGTACACACCAAAGTTGATGGCGCTGGAGCCTCCCATGCCCCGTCCGCGGGAGTAATCAATCTCGCGGTTGTTACAGTGCTCTTGCGGCGTGGTCTTGTAGCCCCAGTTCATGTGTTTATTCTGGAAGGTCAGCCATCGCTGGCCGTCCACCCGCAGATCGTGCTCCGCATTCAGGCCTCCAGCTTCCAGGAGAAGCACTTTGGGATGCTTCGGGGAATTGGCTAGCTGGCTTGCCACCGTGCTGCCAGCTGGACCACCTAGTAGTCATTTTAAGTTTCATTAGCGGACTGTGGTAACCCCCGTCCGTGCGGGTACTCTCACCTCCGATAACGATAAAGTCAGCAGGGGAATCCATGTCGTCTTCTTTTGTTCTGAAGTTGATCTCTGAAAGTCAATTGCGGGAGACAAATGAGGGGGGATACGAGGTCTTCATAAGGGGGCCGGACTGCTAGCTGTTACTAGTGCGTCTTGGGGGGTGATTGCTACTCCGATAGAGGGGCAAAGCCAAAGCACGGGCAGAATAGTGACTGACCGCTCTGCTGGTCGTCGACTCCGTACTCCGTACGCCGTACGGACCAAGAGAAATTTAACCCGCGTTGGCAGGCGTGAAGCATTTTGGAATTGTGGTGGCCTTGACGACTGGGGGTCCAGTCCTCAACGGTGGTGTGTCCGGCAGGGATCAACAGTTCCGGCGTTTGGAGCGACGTCCAATGGAGAATGGCGAGATGCCCTAACTCGCAGGGTTAGCGGGTCCATGGACGAGCCTAATCTCCCGCTAATGTCTAATCATAGTACTTGGGGTATGGCGAATACCCACTGTCTGGTTTAAGCTCCAAATCCACGTACGACAACCGAGGCCCTAGTGCTGCGTCAGGACGGATACGGATTTCAAACTAAGTAGTTTTAAGTCGTGTCCAGACTCCACAGCTCTCTCAGGGGGTGGATCTATGAAGGTACCGAATTACAGGCCTTTCTACCGCCCGAAGATGGAGCCTTCTTGCCACACTAACTGGAACGGGCTGCTTCAGTTCACGTTAGGGTGATGTTTGTCAATTCTACCCCTCGGATCATTGCCTCTTTAGGAGATACGTTGGATGTCGTCTCGTCCGCGGACGACGGAAGGACAGGATGTCCCGGTGAGGTGGTCGTGTTCTAACGCTGATTAGCATTACATTAGCTCCGTACACATCTTGGCGTCATAAATTCCAGTGCAAATCCCTCATGCCGCCAGTGGATCCCAGGTTCCCGGAACCGTGTGAAGGAATCCTGCAAAGCGGTACTTTGAGAGTTTTTCATTTCTTTTCCTGTCATCAAAGCATATTGGGCCCCGTTCCCAAAATGGCACCCTTTCCCTGAACCCTGGAAGTGGGACTTAGCGCATGCAGTTCTTATACTTGCCAAACCCGGATCTCTTGAGTGACCCATTTTGCTCTTCTTCCCAACGCTGTGCGCCCTTCAACTTTTCGACGTTGACATCATGGCCAAAGCAGACCCGGAGGCGTTCACCCTTCTCTCTCTGGGTCTAGTCATCATTATTATTCGAATCTACGTGAGATGGACCTCGGTCGGCCCTGCCAACTTCCAGGTGGATGATTACTTGATGCCCTTGGCCGGGGTGAGTGTGAATGAAACCGACTGCTAATTCTGCGAGAAGAGGGGTGCTTACACTTCAGATATAGCTAGTGTACACAGCTGAAACAGTAGCGGCGTACTTGGTTGGGGCCAAGTTCGGTGGACTCACGAATAGTTACATGACTCCCGAAGAGCGTGCCGCACTTGATCCAAACTCGCGCGAGTATTACGATAGGCAATGGGGCTCTAAAATCCAGGTGATCGGATGGTCATTCTACGCATGCATCCTGTGGTTGGTGAAGGTCTGCGTGGCCGTTTTTTATTCCCGGTTGACGTACGTTTTTTTTCTCTATGATCTTTCTGCCTGCTCATGTCTGTTATAACCGTGGCACTGACAAGTTCAGCACTGGGCTTCAAAACCTACCAGGTCGAGTGCGGTTCGCATATGTCCTCCTCGGAGTGACCTATCTTGCTGTGGCATTGTCTATCTTACTCGGATGCCAACCGATGCATAAATACTGGCAGATTAACCCAGACCCTGGGAGTAAGTATTCGAAGTCCTATTGATCTACCTTCACCATCCTAACAACTTAGATATCTGTCAACCCACCAAGTCAACGCTTTATGTCCTCATTGTTGTCATTCCAAACGTATTGACCGACCTGTACCTGATGTCTATTCCGCTGCCAGTTCGTCTCCCATTGCCCCAACAAAAGTCACACAAAGCTCACAATACATCAGTTGTTATGGACAGTCAACATTGGTATTCGGAGAAAGATCACCCTAATGGCTTTATTCAGCGGCGCCTCCTTCGTGATCATGGCCGCTATTATCCGTGCGGTAACCATTATGACGGTACGTCCTACTGTTCCCTTAGGCCTACCTTGATTGTTTCCACGGCTAACAAACCCGCCTTAGTCCGGAGCGGAAGGCGCAGTCTCCGGCAGTCAATGGGCTTGTCGCGAAACATTTGTCTCCATCGTCGTCGCCAACCTCCCCATCATCCAACCTCTAATTCGCCGAGGCGCCCAGAAAGTCGGTCTCAGTGCCCTCTTCAGTTCCACCGGTGGGCCTTCTAGCTACGGCCGACACCGCACACAATCCTTCCCACTATCGAGCCGAAATCAGCAATCTAAACGCTCGCGACACCCGCTTTCGATCCCGAATAATACCACGGCATGGGGCAGTGATGAGCATATCTTAGTGGACGGTTCAGACAAGGGAGCCGGTAAAAAGAATGACATCACAGTCACACAAGAGATGATTATCGAAAGCGAGCCGCGTCGTACTGGTCATCATATAGATGAGGCCCTTCCGTCGCCTAATGCGTGGGATTCGAATAGGGGGCATGCTGTTTAATTTTTACGGGATTCGGGTTTGGTTGGTCAAAGGATGGAGTTATGGTGTTAAACGTGTTCAATGTAAATTGTAAACTATCTCCTTTGTTAATTTATGCTCTACTGACTTATAACACCCAAGCTAGAAGCGTCACAAGATTTTGTTCCATGATTCCAAATGCAGTAGTCAAGTAGAGCCCAACTAATCCATGTCGTTAAATAACAAGCTTTAGACTAAAACAGACGAATGCAAGAAAGGCTTGGCTGTGGTCAAGACTAGTAAATAGTCAAATTAACAATCCAAGGATTAATTAATGTAATATATTAATGTATTAATTAATAGGATTCACCCCAGCTATAGAACTGGACATCGGCCATGTGGGAATTTACTATATTAATACTTACTAAGTTCGTGTCGCTGAACTTAAAATTCCTTTTGTCTCTGAATTGAACTATAGCTGGCTTTGTTATAGTACCTATAGCCATTACAGCGATTATCATATTAAACATGAAGGTTGTTCAATTTTGCGTTGGGCTGCCTCGGCCTGGTCGCCTGAGGTCATCGACTCTGATGAAATATGCGCTAACCCGAAAGAGGGTAAGTACTAAAACCGTATACCCCGCCGGTTGTAATTTCCTAATTAGTAGTCATTTACTTAACAAATCCTGGGAAGAAAAGAAGCCCTTAAGACTCTACTTTTTTTTTTTTTACCTCCGATATAAACCGAGAAACCACTAAGACGCACAGTTCCCCTACATTGAGTTGCATTGACCAGGTCAAAAGTATTGCAACACCTTTAAGCAGGAATGCGATAATGACTTGCATATGGTGTCAGCAGGTAGGTAATATAGACGAGGGTGTGGACATTAGCATGTTCAGGCCGCTCTTAGGGGCAATCCTTTCGGCCCGGCCGAAAAAGGTCGGTAGTTCCCGATCCTTCGGTACGAGCCGAGGGGGATTCCATTTATAGATAATAAATAGAAAGGGAGAATGGTGCTCTCGTCAGATGACCCTGCGCTGCCAGGGTTGTAAACATGAGAGATGCCTGGAGCAGAAGAAGATCTTTTGCCGGGGAAGAAGCCGCGTCTCTTGTAGTGTAAAACCTTCTTCTCTCTTCTCTTCTCCTCTTTTTTGGGAGGTCATATTATTTTTATTCTTTTATTTCATGTACTGTAGGATTCTTGGAAAAGGGTAATGAAATTATACTTTAAGAATCAATGTTCTAAAGTAACCCGAAACTATTGAGCACCAAGCACGCATTGACCGCACTCAGCACATTACAGCTGGGGGAAATCTCCACCCAATTTCCGAAAAATTCCTGAAGAGGGAGGGCGTGGGCTATACAAATCACTCAGTGAACTATATACTGGAACCTATGCGTCTGGCGACGGTCATTCTTAGCGACAGCTTAGGTATAAAGGAGTATCTACCAATCCGTTAAACGGTAACACTAAATTGAGATGTCTTCAATCTGCAGGAGTATCTAGTATAGTCAGTCAGGGGGTTCTGCCTGGTTATTCAGGGGCAACGAGCTTACCCTCTCGATATACCTCACACCAACAATTATGCCATCCTCATCTTCAAGATCAGCCTGATTACCAAAGACATCCTCCTCGCCTTTGTCAAGGCATGTCAAGCAGGCCGTGGTGAGTTGAGTGTACCGTTCCCCAACAATGCATGGCAGCCGCTCCTTCGCCAATGCAATGAGCGCGCGTTTGATAGCAAAGGCACCTCTTCGAGGATCTTTATCAGCCAACGCCTTCAAGATATCCAGCTGGTCCCAAGGAACCGAGCGACCATTATCATCCTCGCACACAAACGAGCACCACAGTCCAATCTCAAGCAAACAGACACCAAGACTGTATACATCATGCTGCATTTTGTAGAGCTCTTCAGGGAATAGTCCCTGTCTAGTGGGGTGGCGGTATATATTCTTCTCCCATTCCGAATCCCCGTAGTGGTCCGTTGGTGCATCTGCCGGGCGGATGCGCTCAAAGCCGGCCAGGAAGGACGGACCCAGCCTACTCTCTTCATGGAAGATGATGATGGTCTCGGGGCGGATGCTCTTGTGCACGAAGTCTGCTGTGTGGACAAACATTACTGAGCGGGCGAGCTGTTGCGCCAATTGGATGCGCTGGTTGAGAGGGTACTGCGGTCTAGCACGCAGGAGGTGGCGGAGCGACGCTGGTGGTAATGAGAGGCCAGCTGGGACGTCGAAGATGAATTGGAACTGTGTAGCTGCGGTTCCATCCTCCACTTCGGAAACCTCGATGACGCCGTCGCACTTTAGAAGACCGAATGTCATCGGGTCAACGTTGTGCAGCCTCCGGGCCAGATTGCGGACGTAGGGCTTGACCCTTTCCCTGGGCGTGTCTACAGGGTAGTTGGTGCGGTCCAGTAGAACGGCATGGTCCGGTTGGTTAGTGTAATACGAGATAAAGGAGTTGGAGTAAGAAATCTGCTCGGCATTCTCTTGTATGATCGTCGCATCTCGAAAGATCGATTGTCCGCCTTGAGTATTCGGGACAGACAAACTTCCACTCGCTTCTCTCATCTGCGCCAATCTCCTCGATGCATCGCTTAGAGGAGCGTCCTGCAGCTTTTGATCCACAGTTGGGCTGGCAATTCTAGTGATGAGATACCAGGAAGGGTCAAACTTCGCTTGCCAATCTTCCAAATCATCTACGGCCTGTTTGATATGCTTCCGCATATGAAATCGGCGAGTTCCTCCTCTAAGCCGATCAAGAGTGTTTCTAGGGTTCTCTGACCAACCAGCTGTGTTTTCGAGAGCTTTGAGACTTTCCCAGGCCGCAAGTTCTTTACTACCCAATCGTTCCAGGGCATCACAGTAGTGCTGTTGAAGTGCAGCAGGCAGGGCGTTCCAGAGGACCTTCAATGATTTGAGCTGAACATCGGTTTTGAGCAGGAGACCATTATACGTGATTATCATCCCGTCGAGCTCATCGTTGAGACTACTTTGGTTCCGACAGATGGCTATGATCTCCTCCCCGTATCTGGGAAGGATCGTCAGCAATGAGCCATGTGCTGGATCGGGGACATTCTACTTCAAGCAAAGGTCCAGTACCCCTGGAACGGCTAGAGCAAATCCTGCTATGCTAATAGGGTCAATCATGTCGCTTTCGAGGTCAGAGAAGGAATCTATGTACAATGCTGAGAAAGGTGGTGTTCTTGTTAGGCTGAAAGCCTCGCGATGCATGATGGTGGAGAGCGGGGAAATGATCTTCCGTGAGGGCAAGCTTCAGCCTTGTTCAAGACGTCGTACTCACATATTAAGCATCGAGCGGCGATAGACTGGACAAGATAGTATCATGGTGACAAAAGCGTCGAAATGGATGATGACCTCTTTGCTGAACACTTCAAGCTCGACGTGACGATCCAGGGTGACATAAGCCGCCAGACCACCTTCACGTCCGACCCTCGCCTTGGAATACGCCAGAGGAAAACCAAAACTATCTGGCGTAAAGGACGTGAATTATATGATGACAAGGTGTACGTGGAGAGCACAACAGCAGGTGACGTGCGAGTGGTAAAAAAGGTTCTTCAAAAAAAGGAAACCCTGCGTAACATCCTGTCTGAGCTAAGGGTAATGGGGAGACTGTCGAAGGAGAATGGCCTCTTCGTTCAATTGATCGGGTGGTTTCAGTCAAATAACTATATATGCTTTGCCATGGAGTATTGTCCCTTGGGGGATATCACTCAGTGCTTCGAGGATCCATTATCCGAAGTGGACGCAAGAAACATTGGGTGCCAGGTGCTGGAAGGTCTTACGAAGTTGCACGAGATAAGGATCATGCACCGAGACATTAAACCGAAGAATATCCTTGTCCAACAGAGACACCCCATTTGGGTGAAAATAAGTGACTTTGGAATCAGCAAGCGAGTCATCGATGGTGAGACCGAAGCGCGCACGCAACATGGTACACTGGGCTATATGGCACCGGAAGTGCTGTTTGGCCCGTTAGATGACGAAGCAGAATCATCAGCATACACAAGTGCAGTAGACATTTGGTCCCTAGGATGCCTATTACATTATCTCCTGACAAAAGAACCACCTTTCAAAAAGCTTGATGAGTTGAACCGGTACAAAGCGGGAAAGGCGTTCCCCGAGGAGGAACTCTCTGCGCATGATATTGAAACTTCGGGAAGGAGGCTCATTAAGGATCTAGTAGTGCTCGAGCCAGAAAAGCGGCCTGCTGCAGCAGATATCGACATCATGGCGTGCTGGAAGATCGTTAATCCTGCTCGAGCCATCTCAATGCCCGGAACTCCATGTACTGGCCAAACTAATGGTACTAAAGTCAATCAGCCACCGATGCGAGTGGAAAAGCCGCATCAGGAAGACTCCATGGTAAGACTCCACAGCCCCTTTGATGCTGAGAGCTCTAAGCTAACTGCATTAGGACTACTATTCGCTCGAACTCTGGCACGCCATCAACAACCCCAGCACCAGCATCGCACGAGTGACAGCCATCCTCGAACAAGGTGCCAGCGCCAACAAGTTTCTCAAGGGGCTCACTGCTCTGCATCTCGCCGTTCAGCACGGCTCGCCTGCCCAAGTGGAGCTACTCCTCGAATACGGCGCAGACGCCAACGTCAAATCGCGTCCTTACGCGGACACACCACTGCATCTGTCGACCGAGCAGCGGGATATTCGCATAATGGAACTCTTGATCGACTGGAACGCAGATGTCAATGCACAAAATGCTGACGGAGACACGACGCTCCATCTCGCAATCGTCAAAGGGTGTAACCTTGCGATCATCGATCTCTTACTAAACAAGGGCGCCTTGGTAGACATAATCGGTCGACGTGGAATGACGGGGCTGCAGTACGCCATTTACCTTGATCAAGAGGATAAAGTTCGACTCCTACTGAAAAACTGTGATCTGAACCACGGAGATGAAGAGGGACGAACGGCATTACATTATGCCGTTCGGTCTAGCAGAACCAGCCTGGACTCTATACAGCTACTAGTCGAGGCAGGTGCGGATGTGCTCAAAGAGGGTCATAACTCAAGGACACCGCTGCACGAGGCGGTTCAAGGCAAAAGACGAGAGGTGATCAGTTTCCTAGTCGAGCGAGCAACAGACTACGCGAATCGGTACCCGGAACTGGAGAAAGACGTGAAAAGGGCACTGGCGCCCAATGTCCCGCTAACACATAAATTAAGTTGGGGTTTTGGAAGATAAACCAGTCGATATTGGGGTTATATTGATATCGCAAGCCTGTCTATATAGTTTTATATGGTTCTATACGTTTGTGTTAAAATTGCCCATGAAACATCTCAAGGCGACCCGAAATTCTAGTGATACACATAATATGAGTGAGGAAAATATCATTCACGGCTGGGATGCAAGTGAAACGGCCTCTTCATCTGTATAAGGGACACTATAGGACGCAATGCCCTGAGCCTCGACCGGCTGTACTCGCACCCGTCTGCGTAAAACATAGCGTTGGAATGGATTGATAAAATCGGTACGGAGTCGATATACGATAAACTCTCTTGTAGACATCTTGAATGTCGACTGCATCTCTTCTAAAGTATATTGTTTCGATTCCCTCATAAACAAATAGACGGCCAACAAAGAGAGTAAGTTAACGACACTATGTCAATTAGTCGAGACTAGCCAGAAGGCACGAAGCAGACACTCACGTCAGGACCCACGTCAGAATATGAAAGTCGATTTTGCCCCAAACCAGAAAGATAAATGCTGCTACCAAGATCTGACAAATTTGGTATATGCATATTGACAGGGCCACTCCGACATCTGTATATCGTCAACACTGCGCGCAAAGAAGTAAACCAAACCTCAATAAAACTTTAAACTTACCACGATGGGAGGGCGGAAAGACCTCTGCAGCATACAGAAAGGAAACAAGTCCCAGTCCGACGACGGATATTACCGAGGAAATGCAGAGGAGTATAAGAGTGGGAAGTTGGAAGGCCAGAGGTGGAATGAAGCAGAGCGCGAAGGAAATGCAGAATATGAAAAAGAGACTCGCTAGGTACAGTTGACGTCGTGGAAGTCTCGGTAACCCTGCTTTGGTCACCACAAACACAAGTGTGGTTATAGGTACAATGAGCACACAGAATCTCATGGTTAGCCTGCAAGCGTACGCCACGTGGACTAGGGCAGCCGTGGTGAGCCCTGTTCCGGCCAGACTGCCCGCCACCATAACTGAGACTGATGCTAGGGTTGCTCGACGCATATGGGGGTCAACCAATAGTCGGGATGAGCATTTTGAAAAAGTACTGTGTTGTTGTTCAAATGCTGCTTCTTTCTCCTTGTACCAGGTATGAATGTGGTATAAGTCGCGTGCGGCGAGAATATCAGAAGTGCGGAGACGACGTAATGACTCGAACGCCTTATCCCAATAACCCTGACGAGCATACCAGCGGGGCGATTCCCATCCCAATAAAATAAGAAAGGGACAGCCGCCCTTGAGAATAAGATCAAATGCAGTAGATAACTGTGGGCTAACGCTCTGGTCTCCGTCAAGGATGATCGTACCCGCGGATGTTAATGTGTATCCAATAGACATTCCTCTGCACAGCAGTCAGTGATAATTTGAATGTTATTCCATAACCTTCTTTAAAAGGCAGGACGCATACAGTGGATATAGGGTCAAGATACTTCCACGAGCGGCACTTGGGCAAATCTCAGCTAGATAGATCAAGCAGGTGCAGGTTGTTAACCCCACACTCATTCTTTCTAAAATGCTGAAAGTTATCGCCAGCACAATCTTCACCCATGACGAGTCAAACGTCGAATTTGAAAGTAAAAGTACAGCCGCAATAAAAGTACCAATGGAGCCGGCAAGCATTGCACCACGGCGACCCCACAGCCGGTTCAGGGTTGGGGTGAGCCAGCATACGACGAGGGTACTGCTTAAGAAGGGAATACTATATGGAGATTAATGCGTGGATTTATGAACAGACGGACATATTCCTTACTATTGTAGCATTACACCCAAATGGCTTCCAGGAAGGAGACCTCCAAAGTGATAAGGAAACATATAGGGAAAGGCGAGCGGGGCCGATGTATATCCGCTGACCATGTTAATCGTTTTCATTGAAACAGGATATGATTGAAGTGTAGAAGGGGCTTACCAGATAATAGCATATACCAACGGGAAAACACACGACATTACGAACATCGATGATAGTGATAAATAGTTGTTCCTCTCTTTAATCAAGGCAGACTCTTCACTAGGGGCCAACCCTTCTACTCTCTCCCAGTCAGAAGGATCATCCGCTAGGAGAGCACCCTTTCTAATCACATCACGAACATGATCCAGGCGATACGGAGTTACGAATTCATCTGCAGCAAGTAGAATCCGTCGAGCATTTGAGTCATGGTTACAACTGCTACGTACTGTCAGTACCAGTTAATCACAAGGCTAAGAACCGAACCTGAATGAGCGTGGCTGTTGATAGCCCCTAGAGGTATGAGCATCCACCGGCTCTTCCATGCCGTTCTACTCGGTCTGGTTAATTCAATGTCCGGCGTAAGCTGCAATTGCTGAACTATTAGCTGACAATGGAAAAGAGATCTAGTTGAAAGCGAAGAGGCTGTGCAATGTGGCGATTATATGCAGGGGAGGCGTTAGGGCGACAACTCACATGATGACCCATCAGCTGACTTCTGCCACCGAATAGGCAGTGATGTACATATCCTGAAGACATAACTTAGCTTTTTATTTAGACACTAGTCTCACCAAGTGTTCCTGATGCGTGATATGTCCGTTAGGATTAGGGTAAACAATAGTCCTGAAATGGGAAAGTGCAAAGGTTCCATGGATACGGCGGACTCAATCTATACACTACTATTATATAGCCAATTAGATCTACTCCAGATTATTGGCTAGTCCGCTTCTGACATTGTCTACCGCTTTAAATAATTTAGTCCTGCAGTATTTTACCGCTTCTCAAAATTAAAAGACTTTAATCTGTCTCCAGGCACCGTGACCCTTAAGTTTATGTTCTAGCCCCACTAACTTTAGGCACCTCAACTCCTAGATTTAGGGCCTAGTCTCTAGATATCTACACCACGACTCTTAATCTCCATCAATTCTCACATAAAAGAGACATTGCTCAATCTTTCTAAGATCCAGTTTTGTAATTTCTTTGCCCTGTCACACCAGGTGATATCTAATTATCTTACAGCATACTTGCTGATTTAAACTCTTAAGGACTCCTTATAATGACGAGTGCTATGTTGAAGCATTTTCTTCCCCAACTACCAACCTTCAGATACTGGCGACCCATGAGCACTTGGATCGGCACCTCACGCCTTATAGAGGAGGAGAGACGTCCTTTCTATAAAATGAAGCAATTCCACCCTGTTCACTCAAGATATACGGTTCTAGGAAAACTTGGGTATGGGTCTTATTCAACTGTTTGGCTGTGTCGTGACCAAAGGTGCGAATCTTCTATATACGGAAATAATTAATATTTAGCTCATTCCAATGTATTAGCAATAAGTATGTCGCTGTCAAAGTACTTACCAGAACGTCCGTCCGTTCGGACCCAGCCTTGTCTAGAGAGCTAGGAGTTTACGAACACCTAAGCGGACTAAATTCGTCGCATGTTGGAAATGCCTATATTCGTGGAATTTATGATAACTTCGAACTTTCCAATCCATACGGAGTCTACCGGTGTTTGGTACATCCACCAATGCATATGTCGATCAATGCGCTACGAATGAGAGCACGGTCTTCTAGATTAAGTGAACCTATACTTAAGCAAACCTTAATTTGTCTTCTGCAAGCTCTCGACTTTCTTCACCGTGAGGCAAATATCGTCCATACTGGTAAGATTCCCGGTTCTTGGCGGTTTCTTTGCATATTGTTAACAACACCATAGATATCAAGGGCCTCGAACATTATGCTTAGCATTGAAGATGAGACACTCCTTACAGAATTTCAAGAGAATGAGCAAGAACATCCAAGTTGGCGAAAGGTTGTGGATAACAACCACGTTATATACGCCTCTCGGAAGCTTTCAAGGCCGCGCAATGACTTATGGGGCCAGCCGGTACTATGTGATCTTGAGGAGGCTATGATCGGAAATTCTCATAAATAGAATATCCAGCCCGATATATATAAAGCCCCCGAAGTGCATTTTGACATGCCATGGAGTTTTAGCGCTGATATAGTAATGTCGGCGCCATGGTAAGTTGGGTTCCTGTGACCATGAGGGCCGTTCTCAGTGACAGGTTCAGATCTGGGATATTTTTGAAAACAAACATTTGTTTAATGCGCTTGACGAAGACAAAGAATATTCTCCATCCCATCATGTTGTCGAAATGGTGGCTTACCTTGGTCTGCCACCACTTCACTTTCTCCAGCGAAGTGAAGAAACACGCAATGTATTTGACCAGAATAGCCGGCTTTTGTCTACCAAAGCATGAATGAAGCTAACGGTCATATAGGCAAATGGTTGGGTGCAGGTGGTGTCTCCATACCGTCAATCATGATGGAGGAGTCGGAAGAAAATCTCCGTGGTCAAGATAAACAGCAGTTTCTCCAATTCATGCGCTCAATGCTTCAATGGATCCCTGAGGAGAGAAAGACGGCGAAAGAACTATTAGACGATCCGTGGCTGAAGCCAATTTCAACCATTTCCCTTCTCGATGATTAAAGTTACGGGTTCTGCATGAGTTTGGAATACATATTCTTTGCCCTAAAGAAACGTCATATTAGATACAGATAAGCCACCGAATACAAGATGCCTTTTCTGATCCTCACGGAGACCCCAACCTTGGCCTAAACTCCAGACACTATCGAGGGAGAATACCGTTATCATTCGCTGCATCACACGGACATGGACATTTGATAAAGCAGCTGTATGATACACAGCCAAAAGTCGAGGTCCACGGCTCTTAGAGGCGCTGATGAAAACTGGGAAGATAGTTGTTGAGTCAAAGGACAAGAATGGCCGCACGCCACTTTCATACGCTTCGGGGCTGGAAGAAAGGATCTCGGAAAGCTACTCATGGGCGCTCTACAGTCAAGCGGGTAAGTCTTATGTCCCCTTCTACCATGATCATATCATGTTCTATTGGGATTGTTAGTTATGTTAGTTTATAAAACAGCAGCTAACATAAAGCGCGGAGTGATAGTAGCTTTATCATTGAGGTGTCCGAACATTCATTAGTGGACCCAAGAAATATTCTCTTTTTCAAGTAGTGAGGGGGGCATTATTCAAGTCCCAGCAGCTCGTGGGACTGCAAAATTGTCTGAAGACGTACGTTATCGGGAGTGAGGACAATATTGGGAAATGTGTGCGAATGGTTTTAAGAGTACGGGAGGCCGCTATTTATGAAATCTACTTTCTGGGAGGATTTCGGCGTCAGTTATTTGAGGCTATGTTCCTATTAAAACTTCTTGTGAGAAGATATATTTCAAAGAAAGCGGACCGGACCACCCCCGATGATTGCTCTATATCGACTTCCGCCCCTACATCATGACCGAGCAATGGATATTTCGGTGAAAGTATTCGAGCCATCTTTTTGAGATCGATGAATGGTTCCCAACCTAGCTGAACAAGCGCCTATGCCAAAGGATATGGAGAGAGCTTTGAAGATCTCTATATTGCAGCACCTTTGCTATCACCATAGACCACAATCGGAGTTCAGATCTTACATTAAATCAGTGCCCGGATAAGCGGGCCTGGATTGTACTTCCGGTGCAAAGATATACTAGGCCCTTGAGATGTCCGAACATTCATAATTAGACTTATGAAGATTCTCTGAAGATGTACGTTTCAGGGGTGAGGATGATGCTGAAAAAAAAGTATATGAATTGGGTCATAGTACGAGAGGCCGCTATCTCTGTTACTATGAAATCTACTGTCTGGAAGGATTTCGGCTTGAAATATAAGGGATTAAGTTCGGATTGAATGTTCTCATGAGAAGGTATATTTTAATTTAAGCTATGCATAAGTCCTGCTATTGAATTGCTAATTCTTAACCGTGTTTACTGAGGTACACATTGCCCCGATGCCTCCCTTTTCTTCTTTTTCTTATTGTGGCATAGCGAGGTAATGCTAGCAGTTACATTAATGACCAAGAATGAGAGGATACAACCAGCAAATGGCCACACTCATTAGTAACCCGGATGTTAGAGACTGCATTCAACCTCATGCGGGTGTCAATCCCATAAACAGCATTCGTTGGCGAGCAAAATCACGCAGTACTGACAGGTCCAAAGGAAGAGCCATATTGGGGTCTTGGCCGGCAACCATCTGTTGGCCAAAGAGGTCCAGCTTTGTAAACTGGATCACGTCGGTGCCGGGAGCGGGAGCAGGAACAGGCTGCGGAAAGATTGGCTAGACCCTTTGTATTAGCTTCGGTATACAAATTCGAGATAGCACGGTTCGTACTTTCTCGTACATTGTAAGACCCCCTGCAGGATTTCGCGTCCATACTTCCACCTTACCCTTACATCTATTGCGGGCAAGCTTTGACCACTTCAACAAGATCACTACATTGACTGTAGGGGATCCATAAAACCATAGGTTTTTATCATCATGCAAGCGAGGCCAAGACTCGCTCCACCCACTCTCAACAACAATTGAAGGTAGGCAGTAGGTAGCTGGGCGTAAAAACAAGTCTGGTTCCTTCGATGAATGGGTGTATTGCCCCGTGAAAGCATCAAAAGCTACAACCAAGGATTAGTATACTAAGACTGAACTGTATAGTAAAGGGCATACTCGTTCCCACTCCAAAATCCATAAGATAATCTTCGGCATCATTTGTCTGCCCCTGTTTTGTCCAGCGACGGGCAGCAAGCATGAACCATCTGTGGTGCACATCATGGAGTTGGGTCGGCATCACTCGGATCCAAAGAGTCCCTGTGAATGAATTGAAATTTGCTCTGCAGCATGTCAGCTAGATCCACCGTAGGACTGCTTGAATATTATCGTACCTTGCATTGCTCGACTCGAAAACACTAGACTCACTGAGTGAGCGACAGATGAGGCTACCTTGTTCAGGCGGTATGGATTCGAAAACGAGCTCTGTGAATTCTCTGATAGTGGGAATCTTGTGAACGATCTCGTTGAAGATGGCTTGAGCAGATCGTGGTGGAACTTCAGTAGAACCGTTGCTTCGTAGCGTTCGAGTAGAGGATGGTGAGGCCAACTCAAGTGAGTTGAAGGACCACTCGAGGTCGAAGAAAGATGATGGGTGTCTGAATGTCATCTTGAAGAACAAGAGCAACACCAAAGGGTTTTTGCAAGATTTACTCTCAAGGAAGGCAGGGAGTGGACAAATGAACAAGTCAAACACCTCGACTGAATCGAGCAGGACCAAGGGACGATTGAGAAGAAAGAAAGAAACTAAAACTGAGAAGAGAAACTGCCACTAACTCCAGGAGTATTGAGGATGGTAAACGAGACTGCGACTAAATCGAGCAGTATTAGAGGTGGCAAGAGAAACTGCAACCAAATCCAGCAAAATCAAGGATGATGAAAGAAACCGCCAACAAATCGAGCAGGACCAAAAAGGTGGTAAGAGAAAGAGAAGAGCAGACGAGAAAGTGAGAGGCAGAAGAAGATGTGAGGGTGGGATTGCTGCCTAAGGCGTCATTGACGGCTTCCATATTCACTGGTGACGGTCATCTCTCGTTCATCATGACGACGCAAAATCCTCAATCCGTCATAACTACCTTTGCAGCAAAGTCTGTAGGGAAGAATGACAGTATAATACTTCGCAAGTACTTGTTTCATGGGGTGTCTATCTATAACCACTTCAACTAGAGTCTAACCAGCTAAAGTGGATATGAAGGGTGGATTTCCGAGCGCTCTAGTCTATAGGTAGTCTATTTAATTACCATCTATACCAGAGATACACAAATGAGCTCCATTTCTTTTCCCAATATCGATCGGTATCGCCAAATTATTACGTCCTCCATGACATCTTAACGAAGGGTTCCCATGCCGAAACCATAAACCCACTACCGAACTTCCAGAAGACATGGAACTTCACCGACTCCCTAGACTCTACTATGAAAGCAGGAATACTATTCTACCCTCCGCTACTCTAATCCTAGACAAATAAGCCACCGTCGAATTTGTCGTACCACACGAAGGTAGACCCGCATGAAGAGATCGACGAAGTATAAGAGACTGCGGAAAACCTTATCTACTCGCCCGAAATACAAGGCCATCTAAGATGCCTCCCCCCTCCCAGAAGGATGGATTGGACTGGTACGACGGTGTGAGCCTGATTCCGTCCTGTGGGATTCGGTTGTTGTTCAATATGAAGAGGAAATTGTGCTGGGTATGGTTGAACTGGCGCTTAGGATTGCGATGAACGCGTTGTTTGGTAGGTTCTTTACTTTCTTGGTTTTGTGGTAATGTTTTTGTTCGATGAAGATGGTGCTCCTAGGGATTTTCTGAATGGTTGCTCCTCTTTTTTAGAGAAGGGGGCTTGCACTCCAGAGTTTGAGTGTTGTCATGGGGGGATGGTTTCGTGAGTTAGGGGAAGTTTGTAGGTTTAGAGCTTCTGGTAAGTATATGCGGTAGACAATTGTAAGGCTATACAGCTATCGTAAACATAAATGTAGACGTAAAGTCATGAATCAGTCAGTACATACATACATATATTCCAATCCTCTTCAATATTCTCCCCATATCCACTCCTCGACCATGACTCCTCACTCACTCAGTCGACAAAAAATCACCCCCTGCCCGTCACAGGTCGACGCTTGATGAACATCTCAGGCGGGAACTTATCCCGGTCGTTATGATCTTCGACACATCGACTCTCATTCCTCGGTCCCTCCGCTTCTATGGACGACATCAACTTCCGCCACTCCGATAACACCACGTCCATCTCCATCTTGGAGTCCCCGACAATGGCATCCATCTTGATATCGTTCCGGTCGTAGCCGAATGGATCTTCTAGTTGCGATCCGATCCCTTCGATTCCGTATAGAGTGAAAATAACCAGACTGACAATGGGAACAGTCCACCAGCCCAGATCATCGACCATGCCGAAGGGCAGGACACAGCCGAAGAGAGCGAGGACTTGCTTCTGATGAATTCTATATTATCATTAATATCCTCTTCCCAGACAGTACCAGTGAATGGGAGGTTAGAAAGGGAAAGGAAACCCACAAATGCGCAACAGGAATAGGCGTCAGCCGAATCATCTCCATCTTCCCCACAGCATCGAACAACGAATTCAACTGTGCCTGCATCTGACTCGACCCAGGCGCATTATACCAGCCTCTCTCTACACCCCTCTTGATGAAACTGTCTACGAAGAAACTTAATTGGAATGGGAGTGCTAGCCCCTCATTCTCATGACCCTCGAGTCCCTTCGGGAGCAGGTTTGCGTAGTCGGGGTTATATGCCGCGACTCCGTCCTCGCCGACATCGTCGCCAAAGGAGTAGAAGGCCGCGCCATATTCGGCGCGGAGATGGTTTTTCACGGCGTAAGGTATGGCCATGAGGATGCGGATGGTGCGTTCAATGTCTTCCTTTTCGTCTTGGCGGAGGGGACGTGAGGTGCTGTAGCCGTTGGTGAGGATGGTCCGGACCAGGTTGCGAGTGCAAGTTGTTAGGGTTGTGAGGCTGCTGCGGCCGTCCCAGAAGCGGTTGTAGCTGGTTTGGTTGCGGAAGACGAGCATAAGGCCCACCACGATCGAGAGCGAGGGGATCTGTTCTTAGTGGTTAATTCCATGCTCGTCGGAGAGCATAATACGATTAAAAAGAACGCTTACGATGCTACTGGGTAGTCCGACGGTATCGAAGATGTACAGATCTAGACAGACGACAAAGGCCGTGAACAGCGCGTGGAAGAGTACGGGGACGATAATGGCGCCGTGGATGGCGCCTTTGATGAATCGGAAGACTAGAGGCCATCTAAAGAAGTCTTCAATCAGATCCGATCCAATACCACAGGCGCGGCACGTACCTTCGCGGCTTCTGTCGGTGGGAAAGGAGATGCGGGTGTGTGCCATGCCGGACAAAGGTGTTTTGCCGGCTCAACACGGGGGTGGACGGGACGCTCAAGTTTAATCGCATTTTCCTACTGTCGTTTCGAGTGTTGGCGGGATCAACAATGTGTGTAGGTGTAGAAGTGAGTGAAGGGAGGAAATTGTCAAGGGAAGCGGTCCACCAAAACAAAAGAAAGGGTCAGGTTGTTTCGACTAAAGGACTTGTGAGGGGCATGACCACCCCTCAAGCAAATCACAAGAGACGAAGCTACACACTAACCGTGATCGTTGGTGCCACTAATCATAGTCTGGGCATAGTTTAAAAAGTTCCCGCATCCTATCGCCATGTTCGATGCGGTGCCGATCTTCTGTGAGATGACGTCGCTTCGATTCTGGGGTAGTAATTGGATATCTGCATGAAATTATGTGGAGGTACTGGGAAAGGATAGGCCTATAAACGCTATTCAAAATCACTGGCTGGCCACTGTTTGGTGGCGTGGCGGTCGCAGGAGGATTGGAAGATGGACTCCGGCGAGCCAAGAAAGGAAATTGTTGCTTTAGTAGCTAAGTTGGCCAGTGCGGTTCCCACGCACGGTCGCAGTATAATGTTATGTACACACATGCTCAATCAGGCGCTATCAAAATAGAACAGAAAGGAAAGTGTAGCAGAAGAACGAATGCTGACGAGGAGATCGTCGAGAGACCACCGGTAAACCTTAGCTAGATCGCAGGATGTATGCAGATACCAAAACGCCATTAACCAGCCGGCTGAAGTGCACCGTCGGACAGCCAGCGAGGACGGCGCAATGGGGAACCTGGCCAAGCCGACCGAGAGGAGTAACCCGGCGATGCGAAATGGGGGTATAATTTAAAACCAAGGGCAGATGGGTTCCAGATTGCGATGCTAGATATAGAGATAGAAAATAACTATGCTGGGGTGTTCAATTGTAAACGATGCAAGGGGGATTAACGAGAGGAAACACGTGAAAGGCCGTAGAACAGTCTTTGATGGGACGACTGCTGGCGTTTGACAAAGCGTCTCCCCGCTCAAAAAGGTCAATGTAAGTCATTGCGCATGGAGTCCCATGGCGTTGTATTCCATAGAATTATCCTTCTTCACGACATGCTAGCCCGGCCGTCAAATACCAGAGGACCGGAATCATTTCGTGGCGTCAGAGGGTTGTCTTCGGAGGATTCAGAACGAACGGGTGTATCTGCCCGCAGCTGCGCCTGCCGGCACTGAAGAGCACTGGCCGTAGGAACCGGTATCCCGATGCTCCCCGTGACAACAGGGGATGGATCGGCCACACGGGGTGTTTCGTCATCGAGTTCTCTCAATGCACTATTTTCACTGAGGTGCATAATCTCGACGTCGTGAGTAAGCCCTGCTGTCGCGGGCAGGGAATTTGGCTGGGCATCCACGGATTCTTGCGAGGAGTTGGAGGCCTCAGGAGTTGGGTTGTTTTCTAGTTGGGGGGTGCGGGTTTCGGATCGACGGTCCTGAGATGAATCTCTTTGTTCCTCTGTGGAGGCGGGCTTCTGCTCCACCTCCTCGTAATCGTTCGAATCATCCACCTCGGCGCTCAGATCCGTATATGCACGGCAATTCGGGCACTGAAACATAGGGTAATCCGGCGTATGGATGAGGCGACTAACGCATTTGTAGTGCCACACATGGGCACATGCTGCCATGAATAGACACTGATAAGGTCTCTACACTCGGCGTTAGCCACCAACTGTTCAGGAGCAACCAGCGTAGGGAAATGAAAGGGCAAAGCAAGAAAGCGGTGAGACAAACCAAAACAGATCCAAGGCAGATCGAGCATTCGCGACACCCGGAATAATCCGCCGTATCGCCTTTACCTAAATTTTTAATGAGGCTCTCAGTGTTTTTACTAGAGCTCTGTTAGCATCGTCGTTTCCCTCCCTCAGTGTATGGACCATACTTGAACTCGTTAGGCTGCTGCTGCCAGGACCGGTTGCATTCGATGCGTATACGAACGCATCGGAAGATCATCTCTTCCCCACCCCTGAAATCAATACCCAGCTGCACGATATCCCCATCCTTCACTGTGTACAGCCGGGATGCCATGTTAGGCTGACTCAACCGCATGTGGTTCAAAAAGGTTCCCGATGAGCTTCCGACATCCTTAATGTGCCACTGGCCGTTTAGGTACAGAAATTCACAATGTTTTCGACTAACGACCTTCGACTTGAAACCCACAGGCGAATCGGAGGGTTCGGTGGGGTTTGCGACGGGCAAGCCGTCTCGCTCAGAGTATCGCCCGACCCGGATGACACTACTCTCCGATGGTAGAGTTCGAGAGATGGGGATAAAGGGTAAGGAAGGTCTCGAATTTCCATGCGAATCCTGATGAGGGAAAAATCGAATGGTGGCTTTCTGCTTCGGGCGTGACGATGAAGAAGAATTTTCATTGGTAACCGGGTCGGGGCAGTCCAACAACCCATTCTGCAGGTTGGTCGGCGCCGATGCTGGCGTCGTGTCCACCTCAGGTCTCGTATCTGGGGTTTGAGACAACCCTCTCAGCCGCGCCATCCTGCCTTGGGTCTGCGTTCGACGAGGCTCGTGTGACGAAGGAGGGGAGGTTGATGACTCGGAGGAGCGATTCTGGGAACGCAGGTCGAGTTCAAAACCGCGATAGCCTGGGAACAAGACAGAACTGTAGCGGGCGAGGGTCGATGAGGATGGTTCAGAGTCGGGACATGGGGCCGGGTCATTGGTCCCCACAGGTGGAAGAGCAGATTCGGTACTGGTGGAGGCAGATGACGCGGGAGAAAACCAAGATACTCGACTACTAAAGGTGTGTCGACGGGCGATCCGTTGTTGACTGTTGGTATTAGAGGCTGAGGATGACGAGGAGGATTGAGAGGAGAAATGATTTTGGGTATACGCGCGCAGTTGGCTAAGGCGGCGGAGGGGCCCCGAACGAGCGTCTGATGGGAAGTTCGACGAGGCGGAGGCGGAAACGGATGCAGACATTCGGTTGGGTCCAAAATTAATTGGTTGCCTGAGGAGAGGAGAGAGAGGGAAAAAAAAAAAAAAAAAAAACAAGACAAAAAAAAAGACAATTATTCACCCCGGGCGAAAGGGTTAAAAAAAGGAGGAAAAATAACTTGCAATAATATAAAAAATAAACAGAATAATGATACTGAATCTATCAGTAAAACAAAATATTAAAAAAAATAATAAAATAAAAAGAAAGAAGAAATCGATCAAGGTAGTAATAATAATAATAATAACAATAAATACACTGGGAGCTTCGTCTGATCTGCGCAACCACCCTATATTGGGATCTCCCTTAAGACAATATCCGATCGGATCACGAAAGTGGGTTTTCTAGTCAGAAAGCGTGACGTACTACAGGGATCCAAGGGTGAAATCGTAGGGAGTAAATACGGAGTAAGAATAAAATCATAAAAAGATCAAAGCACGGGTGTGCAGAGGAAGGTTGCAAGAGCTTTAAAAGGATCAAAGCGATGCTCTAGTGATTTGAAAAACAGACACTAGACCAGAAGAGGGGGAGAGGCGACAAAGGCCAGAATTGAGAAAAAAAGGGGGGGAGGGCACGATTGTTGTTGGCAAAGATGGCAAGTAGCTTAAGTATGCGAGTCAGATGGTAAGATCTGCCAGTGGGGCATCTGAATGGGATGGTATGGATTGGTAGGTAATAGGTATGCGTGAAGTTGTCTCTATCTGAACGTATGGACCAACCCCCTCAAAATAACAAACACGCGATCTCGTCGGTGAGCAAAAAGTACTATCTATTTTCCTCGTCCCTTTGCTTCAGGATTCGGCATGGAATGGTGATAGAAGGATCTCTCAAGGGCTGATTTGGCGGAGAGAAAACAGTTCGCATGCTGCGCAACAACAACAAAACAATCATAATTTAAGATTGTATGGATTTTTCTGTTCCCGCAGTAAGCTTCCTTCCGCCGTGGATCATCATGCAGTTGACAGGCCCGGAGTACATCTGAAGGACATCCTTGCGGTATCACAGAGTTTCGCGACATTCTTACTGGAACATGCTGAGATAAGAGTCTTAGTCAGTTTCCCAGAAGAGTTCCTAGTTATTGAATCCATCAGCAAATCAGCAAAACTACGCGAAGTCCTTCAAGAGATTGGTGGCAAGTTCTCCGATTTTCGCATTGGTCCCTTTATGGCTGGTTGCTAAGACCGTGGACGCTTAAGATATCGTCCTATACTAGACTAGGGCTGCTCCGCAGTTGGTGTCGGGTCTTAATTTGCGGGGCAACACGAGGAAGGGATAACATGCAACAAGCCATTCCAATCATCGTTCGCAGGTATTCGACCTGAACTCTCGTTGTCTGGAGGTACAGCCTTATTACTTATTACTTACTTAAGATGGCGGCTTCATGTGACCCTCTTGGGCCACCGCCTCACGTGGTAAACGGGCAACATTCAGCAGTGTGAGAGCATTTCATGGGCTGAATACATCATGTCGGTTATATGGGAAAGTAATTACCTACGTGGATCACTCAATGTGGATGGGTCTCGGTGGAAGTAACTCGTTATGGCATGTTCAACGGTTAGCTGAGATGATGGGTCCCTTTTTTGTACCAATTAGTTCTTCCGATTCTCCAATACTCCCGAATCCCGAAGCCGACTGACCAGACCGCGGAGACCGCCTTCTTCTTCTTCCTTTTTTTTTTTTTCCCTTCCCCTCTTGGCTCCAAAGTGGGCTATTATGACGTATGACCACGTCTGATTAATGTTTATAGGAGTCAAGTGCTAACCCGAGGGCGGAGGTTCCATTGCCGATCGGCAGCGACCAAGCCTGCATATTATCCAAGCATCTGGACAAACTACTGTTAGAATTACCACGAGCTTAAGCAAGCTCAGGCAAACTGAGATTATCTTACAGAAGACAACCCGTTCCACAAGGTACAACGTCTAAAAGAGAATGATTACTTAAATATATATAAGAGATGCTTGGTGGTGCATGGGAACCACCCGCTATGGCTAACAGTCCGTTGGTCATTCATCCTTTGTCCGGTGATCATGTCGCATCACTCGTCAAGGGGTGGCCTCCGGTGTACAGACGATATTTGGTAAGATAGGTGTGATATGAGTGAGCTTCGAGGTTTGTGAGAATATCTATATGCAACTTATATATATATATATATGTTCTATTAAATACTGGTATCATATGGGAAGTACTAATCAGTCTCCGGACACAGGTCTTTCTCAGTTGTGATGACCAAGGAATAGGTGGCGAAGTTGTTATTATTGTCGAGAACTGAGTCAGACGGTCCTCCCCCCGTGACCGTGAGAATGATTCTCACAACCGTGAGTGTCATGTCGAACCCTTAAGTTTTGCCGGGTGGATCAGCGGGTAGCCCCATGATTAAACCAGGGAGGGTTATACTTTGCTCATCCATTGTTGGTGGGGGAGGGTTGCCAGGATTGTATGATAAAGATTGTTGTGATGCCCAGTACGTGATTGATATGTAGAATTAGCTTGGGCATTTTCGGAATGGTGGGTCGATCAAATTGAAATATGTGATGGAGGACAGACTACTACTCAGAGATATAAGGTAGCATACAGAGTACATACTGTACATCCTGTACATGATCAACAATGACAAACAAATTGAAACAGGTGGAGGTATGTCCACATGACCGTACCATACACAAAGCAGTTGTTTATATCTATTTGATATACTCTAGTAACAATGAAAGATATAATCAAACCAGGGAGGAAAAAGAGGGAAAGAAAAACCAAAAAAATGGAATTGAATTAAAAAATGATACAAAATCAATTCAATTATTGACATTCTTGAGGGCAATTGTCCGAAAATCTTAAATATTGTTGTTGTATTGTCGGTGACGGGAACTGATAAAGGGAGATGAGCTCTTGTCATTTCCCGCGTTATCATTTGCCCACACCTTCACTTGGGACCCGTATTGTCACTCATCACCCGTGCTCCAAGCTAAGGCGCAGGACTAACAGTAACTAAACTCGACCTCACCGTCCGCCATCTCTTTCTGGTCCTCTTCCCAACCACCACCACCACCAACTTCCCCCCCTCCCCTCCCTCTTCCTTCATTGTTCGATCCCCTCTATTCTGGGTAAGACCCTGGGGTCTTTTCTACACTAATCTCGAATTCGGACCGACTATAATATCAAAGAAAAGTCGCCTGCCTATCACGCGCCATTCTTTGTGCTCCCGCAAGCTTCAATTCCCATCGGGCTATATGCAGAGCCTCCCATCCGTCTCTTTGTCTCGTCACCAACCGATTCCCATCGCATCCCGCATTGCTCCATTTTCCTGACCCTGTCTCTCGGTAGAGGCCAACAAAGAACCCATCGTTCGAGGTCCTTCCTGGGAACCGGATATTGCCCTGGGACGAAAGGAAGGTTGTCTTTCGCCGGTCGGACTGACAACGTTGGTTTCGTTTCCGTTCGCTTTTAGACTTGTCGCTTGTGGGGCCGGTGTCTGGTCTTACAGGCCTGTAATATTAGAGGCATGAGTGGGATCGCGAGTGCGTGTTTATCCTGTCTCTCGACAGTTGACCGCTGGTGTCATATCACCGCCTGTCTCGGGCCTATCGGCGGTCGCTCGAGGGATGGAATTTACGAGACAACCTTAGCAGATAACGAGCGGGAAGCAGTTTCCGACTTGTTAGGCTACCTTGAAAATGTATGTTCGTTCGATCACCGTCTCCGTGATTTTATGTATCCCTGTTTTGATCTCTTGGCGTGATTTTGATTCTAACTCAACCGACCCGATAGAGAGCCGAGACCGACTTCTTCAGAGGTGAACCGCTTAGCGCTTTAAGTACACTGGTATACTCCGATAACGTCGACCTTCAACGAAGTGCCAGTTTGACATTTGCTGAAATCACGGAGAGAGGTGGGTGAATCTCGAGGTTCAATGATCTTCGCACGGCTAACTCCCGCCTTCATCGCAGACGTGCGCGAAGTTGATCGGGATACCCTCGAACCCATCCTTTTCTTGTTACAAAGCTCCGATATTGAAGTGCAACGTGCGGCTAGCGCTGCTCTGGGAAACCTCGCTGTAAATGGTTGGTCTCATTTTCGATGACGGCAACGACAATCGCTGACAGATATAGCGGATAACAAGGTATTGATTGTCGCCCTCGGAGGGCTGGCCCCTCTAATACGGCAGATGATGTCGCCCAATGTCGAAGTCCAATGCAATGCAGTCGGTTGCATTACGAATCTAGCTACGCATGAGGACAACAAGGCCAAGATCGCTCGGTCGGGTGCGCTGGGACCGTTGATTCGTCTGGCGAAATCCAAGGATATGCGTGTACAACGGAATGCGACGGGGGCCTTGCTAAACATGACACATTCTGGTGAGTAGACAATGTGGGAGCCTGCGGTTGGTTCTTCATCCTTCTCTGACGGCGGTATAGATGATAACCGACAACAATTGGTCAACGCTGGCGCGATTCCCGTCTTGGTTCAACTGCTTTCTTCCTCCGACGTTGATGTACAATACTATTGTACGACTGCTCTCAGCAACATCGCTGTCGATGCGTCAAACCGAAAAAGACTTGCCCAAACCGAGTCCCGATTGGTTCAGTCACTGGTTCATCTCATGGATTCATCCACCCCTAAAGTCCAATGCCAGGCCGCGCTGGCTCTTCGCAATCTGGCTTCGGACGAGAAATACCAACTCGAAATCGTGCGCGCCAAAGGTCTTCCCCCGCTCTTGCGCCTCTTGCAGTCTTCCTACCTTCCCCTCATACTCTCCGCCGTCGCATGCATTCGCAACATCTCTATTCACCCGCTTAACGAATCCCCCATTATCGATGCGGGCTTTCTGAAGCCACTGGTGGACCTGCTTGGCTCGACGGATAATGAAGAGATCCAGTGCCACGCCATTTCCACGCTCCGAAATCTTGCCGCCAGTTCGGACCGTAACAAGGAGCTTGTCCTCCAAGCGGGTGCGGTCCAGAAATGCAAGGACCTGGTCCTGAAGGTTCCTCTCAGCGTCCAGTCGGAGATGACTGCCGCTATCGCTGTTTTGGCCCTCAGTGATGAGCTCAAACCCCACCTTCTGAATCTCGGCGTTTTTGACGTTCTGATCCCTCTGACGGAGTCTGAAAGCATTGAAGTGCAAGGGAATAGTGCTGCGGCCCTGGGCAATCTTTCCTCCAAGGGTAAGTTATGAGCAGTTCTGTATGCGTCCCGCATTTGCTAATCTGACACAGTCGGCGATTATTCCATATTTGTTCGTGATTGGGCGGATCCCAATGGCGGTATCCACGGCTATCTTAAGCGGTTCCTCGCCAGCGGCGATCCTACGTTCCAACACATTGCCATCTGGACTCTCCTTCAGCTGTTAGAGTCAGAAGACAAGAGACTAATCAGTTATATTGCCAAATCCGATGATGTCGTGCAGATGGTCAAGTCGATCTCCGACAAGAACATCGAGTCCGACGAGGAGGATCAGGAAGATGGTGAGGGAGAGGTAATTGCGCTGGCACGACGATGCCTCGAATTTCTTGGTAACGGCCCCCGACAAACGCTTGTGGAAGCTTAATTAATCCAAGCACCGTCACTTCCTTTAATGATTTATCCTTATCGTTTCCTTTCCCACTCGTCTATAGTTGACCTTGTGTTTTACACATTCACTTTACGTTCTCCTAGGTGTTCAGCGGGCATTTGATTCAGTGTCACTTTCTTGCTTCAGCGAGCATCCGATGTGATAGGAATAATATCGGGATCCGTCCTTGTGGCCGTTTCATCCCCCGGCCTACTTTCTCAAGCTGTATGCTTACATTGTTTGTATGTACTTTGATAAATGCTGTGGTTGTTAGACCAGTTCTGGTCGTCTATTTGCTTGCCGTGATACCTGGATTTGTATGTTGCATTAACTACATCCATTGCTACATTGAACTACCGTTTTTTGTCTTGGTAATTTTCCTAACGGTCCAGCTGGACCCACCGGGGACGTGCTACTAAGATGCTTAAGTGGGTCGAACCCGGTTGGAGGCCAGTCGATCCTCACGGCAAATCAAACGGTTCTGGTGGGTCAGGAAAACATATCACACTGGGTACTTACTGGATACCATCCATCCTTCTCATTACCTGTACGAAACGAATATGCTATAACCTCATGAATTCAAAATACGACAATATTGCAGATTTTTCAATACCTTCTGCAATATTTATTGCCACGGACATGATGTTAAGAGGGCTTCTTGCTCTCTAAAATATATAGTAGGATCGAGTATTCATAAAGAAGAAAATCAATGACACCAGAGACCCAGCATTCATCCTTCATTTGCTAAGATCCGTATCGCAATATCTTGCGTTCTCTGTACTATATATAGTACTCCAGGAGCCTTTTGCCCTAACACCACCCACCATGGTATCATTCAACCTTAGATTTACCATTGGCAGTTAGTTAACCCTTGACTAGAATGTGTCGCAGACATCAATATACTACCTCGAAGCAGATAGAACTACCAAATTGGTTCTATCATAAAGGGGAGGGTAATTTCTTTGCAGGAATAGGATGGCAAAGATATTGGGATAGTTACCCTTATTCCCAAACTTGGAGAAACCACTAATATAGTACTCCCCGGAGTATTAGGTATCATCCTCACAAATTTCAGAAGGAGAGGTCGGAGATTAAGGAGAATAAAAATTATCGAATCCATATTCAGTTCCCTTTGCTTTTCTTCATTCATTGATCTCTGAATATCTACTCTGGAGCACATGCTCCCACTTAGCTAGGTCAATTCGCCGTGGAGAGAGAGAGAGAGAGAGAGAGAGAGAGAGAGAGAAACAGTCACATGTTGATATATATTGATGGATCAACTAGATATCAGTGGATTTTGTAGGGGCTACCCTTGTTGACCCAATATATTTACGGTTTTAAGGATACCATAGATGGGAATTATGGGTATTTGGAGAGTGAAGATTAAAAGCAAGGGAGTCAGTTCTGTCTTTTATCTAACCTGGTGGCTTTTAGGGTACTGGTATAGGTTGAGTGAGATCTGTGAGTATATACTGGGAAATGAAGGTAGCTGGAGCTTAGGGGTGATAGTGATATATATTTAGAGCAACGAACAATAGAAGAAAAAAAAA